AGAATGTGCTCCCACAGCGGCTGAGAATAGTTGATGATCTGGAAGTAGCCACAGGTGGCCAGAGCCCACCACAGCGACCAGGCCAGCAGGGTGCGACACCTGTAGCACTGCACAAAGTCATCAAACAGCATCCGCAGGACCGCCACGAGCCCCCTGCTGCCACTTCCTGCCTCGGAGGACCTGGATGCCTGCACAGACAAACACAGACGTGTGACCTCTTCACACAATCAAACTCAGAATCTCTCATCACAGCCGTGGCAGATACAGCAGCTTCACTCACCCTGGAGATATCCGGCCTGTTCAGAGGCACCCTGCTGTCCGAATCCTCCGCCTTCTCCATCCTGGTGGCGGTTCTGCTGCTGCTGCGGGGCCTAGCCTCCTCTGCTCCTGCACGCCTGTGGAAGAACAAGCTCCTCTTGGGCATGGGGAGAAAGCAGGGCACCAGAAAAGCCACAGAGGCCGACGCCAGTGTAATGATGACGAGGTAGACCATGTCGACTTCGGCCACGGATACCAGCAACTGACCGGTCAAAGATCCAGCCGCCGATCCGAACAAAGTCACGCTGCGGCAGTAAGCAGTCACTCTCTGGTAGTGCTCCGGCTCCACCACGCTGTAGATGTAGGAATAGTAGGCCACCTCTGAAGCTGTGGACAGACCGAAGAAGAACTCCACCAGCTGCATGGCCAGCAGGCCCTGTGCCCTCCACAGCATGACATAGGTGACCACTAAGCTGCTGGCCTGCAGCACCAACACCGGCTTATAACAGAGGAAGTCAGTGGCCAGGAAGATGGGGAACAGCAGGAACAGATAGGAATACGTCCATACTGGAAAGATTTCATTGACAACCTGCAGACAGAAACAGTCACCGCGTGGATTAGAGCTCCTCTCACTTTCCTTTGTATCAACAGATGACAGGGACGCTGTGCATTTGAAACCTGTCAGTGATCAGAGCAGAACATGCTGATCTACAGCAGCTATCCTGCTCAGCACCACACGGACGTGTGGCTCTGTTTGTGAACATTAAACCTAACGTTAACGTTTTAGTTGAGGAATTACAGAGACGCAAACTGACCTTGCAGAAACAAAAAAGTCTGCTCACTAATCGGCGTTATTTAAATAGCTAAGCCAGGCTCGGGGTCCCAGCCTTTGGACAGCGTAACATCCAAGCAGATTCAAGGTTTACTTTCTGAAGGCCTGCTGAGAGCCTCAGCATTGTACACGTAATTATTTAAGGATTAGCCGGAAATTCTGGTCATTTTTCAGGGAGATTACTCCGTCTACAGCGAGACAGTGAGATTACTGCTCCAACACTGAGATCGCCATTTTCAGTCTTTCCTGCCTGACGCTGTACAGTGCAGCACCATGCAACATCCCTGCAACAGCTATTTTGTAATAACTGTCATACTGCAAATGCAACAGTTCTTACAAAAACCAAACTGCGAAACATAAACCACACGTACATGCAATAAAACCAAGTGTTTTCACTTTAATCTGACACCAGGACACGGTAAACTTTCAGAATCAGTCTCCCAGGACCCAAAAACCTTCAAAACAAAGCTAAAAGTAAGTTTCTTATTATTTAAAGGTCCAGTTGCTGCCAACAACCAGCCCAGGCTCTCTCCTGCTTGGCTGACCCCAGCTCCACGATCTAGGACTTTAGCAGGAGCCAGTGGTCTTTGTTCTGCTCTCCAGGACATTTGATGTGATCCTGATATTTGATGATGAGTCAGAGTGTGTCTAACAGCGGGATGAAGCAGCTACATGACCCCATCCTTCAGACAGAGACTAACAGGCAGGCTGAGCAGCTGGGACGCCCTTTGTCAGAGCGCCATCTGCATCTCTGCTGCTTTAATAAACTTTAGTTTCTGCTTTGCTGATCTTTGCTGTTTATCAGCTAAATGACACTAAATGACGGAATCCTGATTAAAGCGGGTTGCTGTGTGAGGAGGTTTTGGGGTCCTCTGCGCGTGCACCGCCTGTCCACAGCTTAGCTCCAACTTATATCACGTGAACATTAACATAGTGTAAACGCACGCTGATGTTACAGAGTGTGACGACACAACTAAGATGTGCCTCACAGACGCTGTTGCTAACAGCGAGCTAGCTCACCTGAGTCTCCGTCAGGTTCTTGTCTGGTCCCATCAGGTAGGCGGTGAGGAAGGGCTCGCACGGCCGCAGGCTGGTAAAGAAGCCGTAGACACAGAGCAGCACAGTGGGGAAAAACACCGACATGTCTGAAGCAGCATGACCATTGACTGTCAATGAGCATGACCTACGCCAGTCCTCCTCCTTCTTCTTCTTTCTTCTTTTATCTTTTTATGGCAGTGCCAAACAACTTCAGGTACATTACCGCCCCCTTCTGGACTGGAGTGTGAATCGCAACGCCGCGTTTATATGGACAGCTACTGCCCCCTGCCGGCCGGAAACAGGCTTTTCACACAGTTGTGTGACGAACGTTAAAGATACTCGGAAAATCAGAATATCGTGCAAACTTTCATTTATTTCAGTAATCCAACTTAAAAGGCCAAATTTATATATGATATGAGACTCATTACATGCAAAGTGAGATATTTCAAGCCTTTATTTGTTATCATTTTGATGATTACGGCTTAAAGATTATGAAAAGCCCAAATTCAAAAGCTCAGAAAATTAGAATATGGTGAAAAGGTTCAATATTGTAGGCTTAAAGTGTCATTCTGTAATCAGCCAATTAATCCACAACACCTGCAAAGAGTTGCTGAGCCTTTAAATGGTCTCTCGGTCTGGTTCAGTAAGAATCACAATCATGACTGCTGACATGACAGTTCTGCAGAAAACCATCCTTGGCATGCTCCATAAGGTGGGAAAGCCTCAAAAGGTCAGCTCAAAAGAAGTTGGGTGTCCCCAAAGCGCTGCACAAAGCACACTAGGAGTGGCTTAAGCACAGTGAGGTCATGCAGAGAGCAAACGTACAAGCTGCAGGGAGGGAACGCCATCAGCTGTTAGGCCTCAGCACTATGACCAGGACACTATGCTGGCTTTCCCTTCACCTGTAACCTTGCCACCTGCAGCATAGCGTATATAATGAAGGAACATTTTTAGGTTTGAGATGTTTTACTTCAAGACCCCCACCGCCCCTCCCCAGCACCAATAAATACATCCATAAACAGCATTTTGCTTGCAATATTTGGGAAACTCTTTATTGATAAATGTACATCTTTCTGAAACAGTGAAGCCACCAAGCAATTTAAATTAGAAGACTGGACCAACAGGCACAGATACAAAGAGAATATTTGATCAACCGACACACGAGGAAGCAAACTGTGGATTACTGAAGCAGATGCTTTGTATGGATGAGTGCTGCCGCTGTAATGAGCCAAACATGACAGGTTATAGGAAACATGGACTTGTAGTTAAACTGCATCAGTGAGGCTGCTCTGCAGAGGTCACAGCAAACTTCTTCAAAGGTCAGTAATACATTAGACAGAGTTACATCTGACAACAAATCCTCTGAAGCATCAATTAGAAACCTGCTCACGACTGAAGACAGACACAGAAACAGGATCAGCACATTCACAACAAACTGAGCTTCAGCCTCGATTCCCGCAGAGAGCGTTAGGATGGAAGCGAGGACAGCTGACGGGAAACATCCGTGCTCCACGAGCTTCCCTCGACTCCGCCGTCGGCCCAGTCGAGATAATGCTGCTATTATTTGTAGCCATCCAGATGTTGTTGGGCTCCTGCTTCAGTTTTCCTGTTTCTCAGCACCCACTGAGCTGAGACAGATGTGGGCAGACATGAGCACGAGTGGATGCAGCCAAAGCTGCTAAACAGAGTTTTTTCCACAGGGCTGGTGGAGACCGAGAGCAGAGCAGAGCAAACTCACACCAAGAAGCAGTGATTTCAAGCTTGAATGTGACGGTTTTAAGTTCCTAACTGCAGGATCGCCTCCATGATGAAGTGGAGGATTCGTTTGGTTTCTCTAAGGTAGGGGCGAAGCAGCGCTGTGGGAGGAGCAAACCTGATATTACACGAACACATGAATGACTGTCAGACTTGGAACTAAAGCAGCTCATCAATCCTTCCTTACAGCAGCACAACTCTTGGTCACCGAGGGTTAGACGACTAGTCCGACACAGATTCTCACCTCTGATGTGTTTAGCTTATCACAGAGACAGAACTACACACAATAAACGATGCATCTGAATTTATGCAACAGACCAGGATAGGTGTGCCGTTTGCATGATAGCACCCTACCTCTGTGCTGCATACACACAGATCAAACTGATCGAGTTTCTCTGGGTTCAGCAGAAAACAAGCACGTGTCCTAATACGTCAGCCGTTCTTTTAAGAGACAGCGTTTCATATCCCTGACACTTCCACACAAAGCATCTTAGAGTAACACAAACATTCAGCAGACCGGTTGTATTGAGAGGGGAGCGGAGAGCATCTCTGGTATTTCCCGTGTGCACGTCGTGTTGCAGCGGAGGCACCTACATGGTAAAATGTCTCGTGTAGTCGTATTCTATCGTGGGAATGACGGCCTGCACAAACTTGAGGAAAATCAGAAGATACCTGAAAGCATCAGTTAAGGAAACAGAGGTGGGGTAGAGTGACCGCCTGCCTGACCACGAACACTCGCTGCAGTCCAGCCGCCGAGTGCTGCTCT